TGGGAGGTCTCCTCTTCAAGCCCTTCACTCACAGAATGTGCAGGATCATGGCCATATATGGGCCATATATATATATATATATATATATATGGGCCCTATATGGGTGTATTTCAATATAGGGAGACCCTCTGACCCCATGGGGTTTGGTCTCTTTCCTTTCTTCTAATCACTGGGAGGTCTTCCGATAGCAAGTCGACTGTGCCGTACGCACCTGTGCCGCACTCCGTGTCCCAGCCCTTGGTCCCCGGGCCAGAGTCCTGCAAATTCCTGGGCGCATGCGGTACATCAACCATCAACCACGAAATGTACCACGACAACAGTGAAGAGCAGGGGGCATTTGCACTAAGGACAGATCTGCCACTACAGGGTGGTGTAGGATTTCTTGTGCACGTTATACATCGTTATACTACATTATATGATCTATACCAGGGCCATCCGATGGGTGTCCAATGGACTACCCCACGCTGCGAGCGGGCTCTCCAAACAGGACACCCAGACAGGATGCAGCCACATCGGTGGGAACTGCCCCACTGGGTACATGTTCCAGTCCCATGGATTGCTGGTAAATACCATACTGTAGATACCCCCCATCTCGCTCACCCTGATTCCATGGTCTTGAGAAATGATCCCCCCCCCAACATTAAAACATATACAAGCATAGACCCCAAACAGCTTCAAAACGATTCGTTTAGACCAATATTAGTCAAATACCGATTTCTTGGTACGCCCTACCTTCACCCCAACAGTAAACTGTTTGGGGAAAAACAGCCTCCTACAGTGTCACCGGTCTCGCCACTCTTCCGCATATAGGTCCAGGTCCCCGGTCTCGCTCCGAGCTGCGTGTCCCACCCGGTCGACCGCCCAGGTCGCCAACCGCTTCGACCCGGTGGCCTTTTGTGCAAGATGTAATACTCGCTGTGAAGGATGTCCTGGAAATCCAGGCTGTTTCGATGCTGAAGCGAAGCGGTGAAGCCAGTTGCGTGAAGCGGGCGAAGTCTGGTGGCGATTCGCCAGTTTTCTAAGAGAATGCGTGCCGGATAGGCGATGACAGATCCTCATCATGTACTGGCATCTTCCTTTCCGGCACCGGAAGCTTTTGGACTACTTGCTGATCTCCTTTGGCCTCTGGCTGGACACCCTTTTGCAAGTTCCAGGTATCCAAGAGAGGTTAAGTGACCTTAGGATAGTCTTATAGGGTTCTTCAACCTCTGCTGGATGTTTCAAGGACCAAGGTGACAAGGACTCTGAAAGTTGGACGATGCCATCTTCGTGGGAGGCAATCCTCTGCGGATTGGTCCAACTGGTCATGGATCAAACTACCTGGACCCGAATGCAAGTACCTTGGATAAAGGGACATGACCCTATAAAAGCAGGTACTTGTACTCACTTTCCGACGTACTTAGAGACTCCAGGTACAGAAATGGCTCGACATGAGACCTTCCAAAACCTTCCTGAGCTGGCCCTGATTAACTGTGAGCTGGCCTTGATGAACTGCACCCCCCCACCCCCCAAAAAAGAAACACCTACTTCCTGGACCGTCAAAGGGGCGTTCAATGGAGATCCACAAGGATGATCTTCATTTGAACCAATCACCCTATAATGATCCAGGGACCCGGTGAGACCCTGCCGCTTTGGGGGGACCCCATCCCAGTCTCGAAGAGTGCCTGGGACTCCGGATTCTCCACCCAAACCCAGAAAGGCTCACTGGGCCTTGGCAGGACACTACGCCAAAAAGGGCGGTTGGCGGGGTCAGGGATTTTCTGGCCATGGTCGTGGTCTGTGGCGTGGTGGCCAGGTGATGTTGAAACTATTGTCGGCTAGAGAGTGGAGGTCCTAGAAAATAGATGTGGAGCTTTGTTTGGTTCAACATTTGATGAGAAGACCGGACTGCAGAATGATGCGATGAATCTTGAATCCGAAGGGGTCAGAATTTCAGGCCTTTGCTTCAGGAACAAAAAAAACAAACAATCCATGTGACTGGAATGTTGACCTACATGGACTCTCAAAAACATCCTTCAAAATCATCCATCCATGGAAGGTCACACAATTCCAGATCACTTGGGAGGTCTTCTTTGGGCAAGAAGAAACATTGCAAATTCCGTGTCAACACAGGGGTGCATCTTGATGACCTCGATGGAACTGGGACAGCCGAGGGCAGCAAACCACCTCCAAATGCCTTGCTCTCGAATCTTGGTCCAGCGCATGAGTGCTGACTCCATGCCATCAAAGCCCAGAACGTTTTTTCCGGTTCATTGATTGGGAATTCTATAACATTTCTTGTCGAATAATGTTATATACCTGGAACTTCGAAACAAACATCAGTGCCTTTTCAATCAAATGCGGACGGCAAACACTTGTGCCACAATGAAGATGCCAGGTATGCATTCTGCTTAACCCACACTTCGTAGCTGCTTGCTTTTAACTCCGTGTTATGTACGTTTCATGCATACCTCTGCTTTGCAAATAAAACATGTAATCAGTTGTAATATCACGATTTGCAAGTTGACGCGCTTGAACTAGTTGCTCACTCCCACCGTCCAAGTCGAGCAAGCATGCTCCCACGAAGGTTAAAACAAAAACACACCTGAGAAGCTGCAAAACGAAAGCCAGCGCTTCCCCTTTTCGACAACTGCGCGTCGAAGCAATCAGAGAAGAGGCAGTGCTGCAAGGCTTGAAAGAAAGCAGGGAGCGACAAACACGTGTGGAGAGTGAGGGGAAGTAGGAGTGAACATGTTCCGTCCGTGAAGGGGGTTCGGAGGTTTAGTCTATAAATTCATGAGATAGTGTGGGCACCATTCGCAAAAGTGCTGTTGTTGGGTTTCTTCATCAGTACGTCAATGGAGACATTAGAGCTTTTGCATGGCCTCTGGTGTGTATTTCGTGTGTGGTGTCTCATTGCGGGTAGTTTCGTGACGGCCAACTTCGGACATTGGAAGTCTCTCTTCCTCTTGAAAGTTACATGTCTATCCAAACGTCTTTAAAAGCACTTGAGGATCCCCAAGAATTTCGAGTTCATGACCCCAATGCGGACTGACTGATCCTTGGTTCTGACTCCGGCCGTCCGCTCCAGGTGACTCGGCAATGGGGGGCTCATGCGCTTGGCGCCGGCCGGGGCGCGGGAGATGGGAACGTTGACCTATGAATGACCTCACCCAGAGGTGAAAGAACCGAGCGGAACTCCAAGTGACCTTTTTCATGGAGCCTTCTACAACCTGGTCGCAGTTGTAGCAGAGTTTGAAGAAGACCCCAGAGGACCGCTTGAGGTTCGTATGAGGTATAACAAGCTTGCCAAGACTTTGCACTTCTTCTGTGGGGGAGGTCCACGTCCATGTTGTACCAAATCGATTGATTCTAGGAATATTCTGGAGATAGTAAACACCAGAGAACTGACTAAAGCCGTTTTTTCTGTGAGATCGTGATTGACGATGTACAGCGGTTTTTGTCCATGGACGATACTAGCCAATCAGTAAGGCAAGGGGCAAACGGTGACAATATTAACTCAACTCTGAAGCTCTTAGTGAACTCAACACGCCTGGCTCAGAAGCAACTGTTATTGCCATTGGTTCTCATATACCTGGCAAGGTGCCAACTACACCTTTATTTTCAAGGTGGCCTG